AGATGAAGTTCACATTAATAAAAAATAAAACAAAAGACTACAATTCAATCCATGTATGGTACATTTACCAGCATCTTGTATTCTCTCTCTGCTTTAACTGGTGAAGCATCAGGTGCCAGTTGTAAACAGTGATGCTGGTTGTACCAAGGAAGATTTTTAGAAACATGTTCACACATGACCTCATGGTGACTCTATATGCTCTTCTCCACATTGGCCTCTCAAAACAAAATGCAATAAAGTGTTTCACTATCTACTTAATAAAGCCACAATCACTGAAGGTAAATAAAATGTATGGGCAGGGCAGCTACATGTGCTATTTTCAGTTCTTTTGTTTTTTAATTTCATTGTGCTTCAAATCTGTCTATTATAACATGCTCGTCATTTAACCACGTTTAAGAGTACGTACAGTTGAGTGACATTATTTGCATTCACAATGTGGTGCTGCCACCACTCCTATACATTGTCAAATATTTTTCATTACCCAGCAGTTACAGGACGAGGGTATTGAGAGAAAGTAGCAATAAATGGGCACTGGTGATGCTTTGGTTTAAGCACTGAGTGGGTGTTTCAAAGCCACCAGCCCCTGCCTGGGAAACAGTCAGGACGGTCTGTTTCCTCAGAAATCCTCTGCAGCGTTCCTATGAATCAGAACCAACTTGGAGGCAATGCGTTTATTTTTATTGGTTTAACTCAAAATTCAAGACCCCTGCAGAAATGACTTCTGATTCTCCTTCCCTTCTACTTTGGTAAACACGAAAAATGTTATCTGTATAGGTTTGCTGTTCTAGATATTTTACATAAATGGGATTATTTGTCTTTCGTGTGTGATTTCACAGATTTTCCAGGGTTCGTTCATGTAGCAAATATAAGAAATTCTGAATGTATCATTATGACCGAGCACTATTCTGTTGCATGTATATTCTGCATTCTGCTTATTGCTTCATCTTTTGCTGGACTTGGGTTGTTTTTCACCTTTCGGCGCTTGTGCACTTTGGTGTGCATGTGTCTGTTGAGGCCTGTGCTTTCCAGACTGTTGGGCATTACACCTAAGCTAGCAGAATGTTTCTTATTGGCGAGCGTAGTTTTCTTGTCAATTTCTGTGTCTGCGTATGTTTTGTATTGGTGCTTGACGTAAAAACAGAAAAGATTCTTGTATCTCATACCAAAGTTTAGATCAGGTTCGAAAGATTCACTTAGAGAAAAATACTCTCAAATTCATGATTGCAATTCATGAAAAGAAAGATAATGTTGATTGTAGATACAACCACCTTTTATAGTTTTCTTTGAAAACACTTTCAAGATACATACATACATATGTATATAATGTAAACCTATATGTATGTATGTGTATATAAATTCACATTCCTACTCACTTTGGTAGGAATAGCTAATATGAAAAGGCTTATCAGGCGTTTTTATATAATCAAAAATTGCTCTCCGTACTTATTGGGTGCAATTTCTTTCTCCCAAGCCTTTCTCAAACCCATTCTAATTAGCCTCTCTCACCACCAGTTTATAGTTCATATGAAAAGGCTTGCGAAGCATTATGTGAGAATCACAGGTAAAAAATGTCTTTATCCCGACCACACCTCTGTCGGGGATTACCTTGACCTTCATCAGATGATTGAGGATACCTTGGGGGGAAAGTTCCTGTTGGCCTTCACACAGCTGGTAGATTGTGGCACTGGGGCTGAGCCTACATATTCTGATCTCAGAATACTGTCTTGGCTCTCCTCTGTTGCCTCTACCTTAGCAATGCTGAATGATCGTTTTTTCCCTTTGAATTTGGGTTTGATAAGTTCAAGTTGTATGCAGACATAGCACAAAAATAAAACTTACTCCTGAGCTACTGCCAATCACTTTACCCATATAGTGGATTGTGTGTTGCTCTAAAAATTATGGGTGGAATGATCTGAATATGCAGAAACATATTTTGTGCCAGGAATTTTGGCTGTGGGAGGCAGGAAGGAGGGAGAAAATTCTGTAAACTGGTTGTATTCAGCCCTCCTGGGAAAACTAGATTTAACTTCATTTCAAATTTTATAAACAGATTTATGTTCTAGAATTATTCTCTCACCCCCTTCCACATAGTAAAAGAAATAA